CAAAACATTGTTCCAATGGCCATCTGGCTGGTCCATGTGATCTTTAGCAAACTGCAGATGGGCAGCAATGTTTTTTTTTTTTTGGAGAGCAGTGGTTTCTCCTTGCAACCCTGCCATGCACACCATTTTTGTTCGGGGTTCTCCTGATGGTGGACTCATGAACTTTAATATTAGCCACTGTGAGGCCTTTAGTTGCTTAAAAGTTACCTTGGGTTCCTTTGTGACCTCCTGGACTATTACACCCCTTACTCTCGGTGTGACCTTTGTTGGTCAACCACTCCTGGGGAGCGTAACAATGGTCTTGAATTTCCTCCATTTGTACACAACCTGTCTGACTCTGGATTGGTGGAGTCCAAACTCTTTTGGTTTTGTAACCTTTTTCAGCCTGATGAGCATCAACAACTCTTCTTCTGAGGTCTTCAGAAATCTGCCATGATACACTTCCACAAACGAGTGTTGTGAAGATCAGACTGTGATAAATCCCTGTTCTTTAATTAAAACAGGGTGGTCCCTCACACCTGATTGCCATCCGATTGATTGAAACCACCTGACTTTAATTTCACCTTCGAATTATCTGCTAATCCTAAAGGTCCACATACTTTTTCCACTCACAGATCCGTAATACTGGATCATTTTCCTCAATAAATAAATGACCAAATAATAAATATATTATTCCATATATATATATATATATATATATATATATATATATATATATACCACGTCTAATATTGTTGTCTAAATTTGTTTAATGTGGTTCTCTTTATCTACTATTAGGACTTCTGTGAACATTTGATGGAGTTTTAGGTCAAATTTATGCAGAAATGTAGAAAATTTGAAAGGGTTCACAAACTTCCAAGCACCACTGCATGTGTTGTGTGCATGACGCCTGCACATTTCTTTATGGTGCTCTAGTGACCTCTGCTGGACACGAAACAAAGTTCAGGACAGTTTTACCTTCCGAGATAACGGTGCTGCCTAAAACTATCTGCACCCTTGGTGAAGATTAGCGGTAGTTTCTAACTCCCTCCATTTATTCTCAAAATACATTTTTCTAGATTTATACTTTTTTTCAAAATATAACACTTTTGTTCTTCTGCCAGTCAAAAGTTTGGACACACCTACTTGATGGATTCTTATTATTTTTACTCCCTTAAACATTCAGAGCAGCATCAAAACGATCAAATAACCTGTATGAAATTATACAGTGAGCAAAAATGTGTAATAGAAATCAAACAGTCTTCTATTTTAGATCCTTCTAGAAATGATCCCCTTTCTCTTAATGAAGCTTCACACACTCTCAATTTTTTTTCTCAAGCAGCTTCATGAGGAACCGCCTGAGATGCTTCTGAAGAACGTGAGGCCTTTTTTGCTTTGAATTTAATTACATACGTGCACACTTAAAAAAATGGCTCTTCAAGGGCTCCTTAGTAAAGACAGTGGTTCTATATAGAACCATGAACACTTAGAGAACCCATTGCATGAACACATTTTGTTTGATTAAAGGGTTCTTTGCATCATGAATGGGTTCTACAGACTGATGGAGAATGCGTTGTAGGTGGTTCTATACAGAATTGTTTTGAGGATGAATGATGATATCAAACTTGTAACAATACAAGAACCCTATTCACTAAAAAATAGAACCATCTACAACGCATTCTCCATCAACCTGAAGAACCCTTTCACCATGCAAAGAATCCCTTTAATCAAACAAAATGTGTTTTGTCTTTACTAAGAGCCCTTGAAGAACCATCTGTTTAAAGAGTACAGGCATCAACTCCACTATTCACATTCGTATTAGTAAGTTCTATTGTATTTCGAATGGAGACATCACTGTTCCATTGGTGAAAACAGGTGGAATACATGTTAAAATGAAAAGTAAAACACCCACCACACTGTTCTCACGATGCTTGATCTCTTTTTTTGTACTTTAAATGTATTCGCTCACCATCAGAAACAAAGACGCTGTGTTCACTGTGTACTCTATAAGAATGTAAACAACTTGCTGTGATTGTTTTAGTTTGTATAGTGAAGACGATGAATGTGTGGATGTATATTTACATGTTTAACCTGCAGATTCTGAAACATTTTGAATCAGCATCAATATTTACAGATTAAACTGTGAGATTAAAACAGCAGATTCACAGAAGAGCGAATGTTTTCTTAGGAAAGTCAGCAGAACCCGACTGTGTTCTGTTAGCACCTCAGTGAGCACATATAGACTCAGCTGACTGAGCAAACAGCACTTTATTACTGCTGTCTGTAGTTTGATTGAATGGAAAATAAACATGTGAATGAAACTGAAAAGAAAGTGTGACTGAGAGAAGCAGCTTATAGAGATAAAGCAGAGTGTACAGAGTTTAAACCCAAACACAGTGAAAACAAAAACATCATCAACAACAACAACAACAATAATAATAATAATAATAATAATAATAATAATAATAATAATAATAATAGGGTATTATTAACCCATTGTTATATTATTAAAAAATAATAATTATTTTCATTTATTTATTAAATTTTATTTATTAGACCTATCCAGGGTGTATCCTGCCTTCCATCCAGTGACTGCTAGGATAGGCTTTAGCTGCCCCCACGACCCGGAAGGATGAGCGGCTTAGAAGGGGTGGGTGTGAGTGTGTGTGTGTGTGTGTGTGTGTGTGTGTGTGTATTTTTTTATTATTGCTGGTAGTAGGTGTTGTGTATGTATTTTTATTACCTAATAATTTAATAATAAAATGATATTATTATTATTTTTTAATGCTAAAATATTTATTTATTTATTTACACTTGTATTTACAGTCATATGCAAAGGTTTTTTTAAAAACCCATCGCATCTTCTCCACAGAAAGCACATTTCTGCACATTTTAAAACACAACTACTGGTTATTTATAAAAATAAAATGTAAAATATGTAAAATATAAAATGTGCCATAACTTTTGCACAGGCCACATTTTTATATTGTAATTTTCCCCCAACATGTTATGTTGAACAAATAAACAGTAATTGTGTATTAAAATGTGCAGACGTGTGTTTTCTGTGGAGGATGTGTTCACTTATTTTTCCTAAGAAAAAAAAAAACAAAATTAAAAAATCAACAGAAACATGTTATGTGACCGGGGCGCCCTACACTTTTGCATAGGACTGTATTTAAAATAGATTTTTTTTTTTTTCAAATTAAATTATATTGGCATTTTGATAACAATAATAAACTATTTATTTATTTATTTATTTATTTACTTACTTACTTACTTACTTACTTACTTACTTTTTTATTTACCACATTTGCATTCATTTCTGTCCCCCTTGCTCTCAGTTCACAGCTGCACTTCGCCGCTGTGGACACTAGAGGGCGCAGGTGTCCGTTACATCCCACACGGGATCGTCGCTGCACGGCGCTGCTGCGGAGCTCTGAGGATTCAGCCGCTTTTCATTTGGAGGACAGACGGAAGTTTTTCTTTCTCTTTCCTTCCCTTTGAAAAGTATCGAACTGCATTAACTGGGTGATTTTAACATCTGACCACATTTACTCGTTACTGTTCATTAGTCCACAGTAATAATGATCGTTCATATGATCTCATGATGAAATTACTGCTCAATTTTCTGGACTTTTCCCTGTGGAACAAATGAGGATAGGTGTATATAAGCGATATGGCTTTGTACAGGGGCTGATTATGAATATGCATATAAGGATATAAGAGTTTAGCAGACATATAGAGCTGTATTAGACAGATACTTATAAGCTATATTAGGCTTATATGTTTACTTTTGCAAATAATAATAATAATCTGCCCAGAAGATAAAAGGATGTTATTCAAGGACTTCTTTTATTATTATAGAAGTGATGATAATTATTTTTGTAAACATCTTTTGTTCTGTAAAAGTCAAATTGCATTTTTAAAGATTTCTCTCTCTCTCTCTCTCTCTCTCTCTCTATATATATATATATATATATATATATATACATACACGCACATATCAATGTATCTGCATATACATGTATGTATATTTCTTTATGAAAAAATTATTAATGGACAATTTTTCCTTCACCACACACAGACAGACGTGATTCCCAGGCTAATTAGAGAATAATCCTCAAATTTGCATTTCTCGCTCTGGAATTTTTACGAATCTTCATTTTTCTTTTCAAATCTCAAATCCACCGCTAGAGGGCGCCAAAGCACCGCGTCTTTATTTATTTAAATGACAAAGGGAGACAGAGAATCGGAGCCGTTTAACAGTCAATAATAAAAGTCCTCATGGAAAAAAAAAGAGTAAAAGCGCTTTTACTGCACACGTCAACTGTGCAAGTGTGCACTGTCTGCCCCGCTGTGTATACGTATACATGCATACATACATACATCATATATATATATATATACATACATACATACATAATAAAAGTACACACACCCAAATGTATATGTGTACATCTCAGGACTGCAGTCGCTGCAACATGACCTAACTTGTTCATTTTGAAGTTGTGTGCTTTTTTTAAAGCAAACACCCCGCTCTCTCTCTCTCTCCCTCTCTCTCTCTCTCTCTCTCTCTCTCTCTCTCTCTCTCTCTCTCTCTCTCTCTCTCTCTCTCTCTCTTTCTCCCTCTCTCTCTCTACAATGGCGGAGCACCGCGCCCGCAGTGCTAAAAACACACCGACCACCGTCCGTCCGGCCGTTGTGAATTATTAATTTAAGTGTATAAAATTACATAAAATAACCGCCCCCCTCCAAATAAAACCTGCTACTGCACTTTGTGGGAGGAACCGCGAGCGGGGGGGGGGGGCGAAAACACCCTCCAACATTGCGGTGTAAAAAAAAATACAAATTTGTTTTTTTTTTTATTTTTTTATTTTATTTTTTGGATTTTGCTCGTTTCGTCATTTCGAGTGGGAGGACTCTTCTCTCTTCTTCACACCCTGCAAAAGGGAAAAAAAAGAAGAAAAAAAATTCATCCGCATGACCCCCGCGCCTGGGTGGGTTTGGTTTGGTTTGGGGAGGAGACGCAGCACTGCCTCGCTTTTTTTTTTTCTTTTTTTTTCCTCTATTTTTTCTGAATTAGATTTGTTCATTTGGCGCCTCGCAGCTCCTCCTCGGCTCGCTCCTCCGGATTTTCTGCTCCTGTTTTGGGGGAAAAAGCCGATGCAGCTCGGGTAAGATAAGACAGATAAAAACTCCAGCTTTGCAAAAGTTCTGATTTTTTTTTCCCTCGAAATGTTAATGTTGCTGCCGTCTGTTTTTCTGCTTTCTGCCCACGAAGCTGAAGCTGGAGTCAGCTTCTTTTTTTCGAATTTTCCCGTTCCACCTTAAATGGTGCAGCAGTTACATTCTGGCGCCTCAGGCGCCAGAATGTAACTGCTGCACCATTTAAGGTGGAACGGGAAAATTCGAACAAGAAGCTGGCGAATAAGAAGCTGACTTGAGCTTCGTTTTGCTCTCCGCTCCTAAAACACCCTAAAACCGAGTTTGCTGTGAGTTGTGAGAGTGAAATGTGGCCGCCAAGGGCTTTTAAATCCAAACCGGGGCTTTTTTGTTGGAATTTTTCTGTCGGTTGGGAATGAAAAGCCTGTGCGATGGCAGGAAGAGGGGAACAGAAAAGAGAGCGACGCAGCCATGTTTGGCCAAAAAAAATCTACTGTATTCGGCTCTTATTCGGCGATTAAATCCGCGTTTGAGCCGCCGGGTCACATTTCTGCAGACACATTTATCCTCTGTAGGCGTGTTGTGAGAAAATGCTTCGTCTTTGTGAAGAAAAAACGAGGTTTAGTTTGATTAATTTCACCCTCCGGCTTGAATGTCGTTTTCGTTTTTTTTGTGTTGCGAAATTAGCGCCCTCTGGCGGCAGATATTCCTCGAAAATTAAGAAATTGCAATTAATCTGATTGCAAATTCACAACAGTAGATTTTTTTTCTTTTTTTGCAAAAAAATCTTTTTTTTTTCCAGATTCTTTGTCTGTTCACCCCAAATGAAAGCAGCACAGCACCCTTTCAGGGCTCGAGCTCGTCTGTTTGGAGCACGTTGAAGGAAAAAAAGGCTTCATTTTCTTCATTTTGTTCAGATGCATTAGATGCTTTAGATGCACCACAGTGAAAATATGAGCACTGCTGCTGCACCACATCTGCTCTTCTGTGCACAATTGCATTGATTTTTTTTTTTTTTCTTTTTTTCTTTTTTTTCCTCCTCCTCGCCTGCAAATATTGCAAAGATCAATCCGGCTTGTCCAGCATGCTGAAAATAGATGTAGCACATTCAGACATGGTGCTGAAGGGCGGTGAGGGAACCGTCCACTGTTTTATTGTTATGAATATTACATGCCTGATTAGATTTATGGGCTAATAGTGAAACACAAAGGACGCTCTGTGCTATTTAGAACTTCCCTCCGATGGTAATGTTAGAACACGTCTGTTTCTTTATTTATACAAAAGAACTTCCTTTCCTTTCATTTCCTGAGGAGATATTGTGAATTAAAAACAGTGCAGATCTGGCAGTTTTCACCTCCAGATGCTGTGCGCTTAAAAAAATAGGGTTCTTCAAGGGTTCTGGAGTAAAGGCAGTGGTTCTATATAGGACCATGAGTTCTGTACAGAACCATTTGCATGCTTTAGTGGTTCTTTGCTTGGTGAAAAGTGAGCATAGTGAAATAGTTAAGCTGAACACTAACAATACACTTTTATAAAAGATGGTTCTTCAAGGGTTCTTGAGTAAAGTCAGTGGTTCTGTATAGGACCATGAATTCTGTGTTGAACCATTTGCATGCTTTAGTGGTTCTTTGCTTGGTGACAGGTAAGCTTAGTGAAGTAGTTATGATGTTAATCTTAACGTTAACAATGCATTCTTTAAAAAAAGATGGTTCTTGAGGGGTTCTTGAGTAAACGTAGTGGTTCTGTGTAGGACCATACGTTATGTGTAGACCCATATGCATGCTTTAGTGGTTCTTTGCTTGGTGAAACGTAAGCATAATGAAATAGTTATGATGTTAAGCGTAACACTAACAATACACTTTTATAAAAGATGGTTCTTCAAGGGTTCTTGAGTAAAGTCAGTGGTTCTATATAGGACCATGAGTTCTGTACAGAACCATTTGCATGCTTTAGTGGTTCTTTGCTTGGTGAAAAGTGAGCATAGTGATTTAGTGTTAAGCTTAACATCGTAACTAACAGTACACTCTTTTAAAAAAAGATGGTTCTTCAAGGGTTCTGGAGTAAAGGCAGTGACCATGAGTTCTAAATAGAACCATTTGCGTGCTTTAGTGGTTCTTTGCTTGGTGAAAAGTAAGAATAGTGAAATACTTATGAAGTTAAGCTGAACACTAACAATACACTTTTATAAAAAATTGGTTCTTCAAGGGTTCTTGAGTAAAGTCAGTGGTTCTGTATAGGACCATGAATTCTGTATAGAACCATTTGTGTGCTTTAGTGGTTCTTTGCTTGGTGAAAAGTAAGCATAGTGAAATAGTTACGATGTTAAGATTAACACTAACAATGCATTCTTTAAAAGAAAATGGTTCTTCAAGGGTTCTTGAGTAAAAGTAGTGGTTCTGTGTAGGACCATGAGTTCTGTATAGAACCATATGCACGCTTTAGTGGTTCTTTGCTTGGTGAAAAGTGAGCATAGTGAAATAGTTAAGCTGAACACTAACAATACACTTTTATTAAAGATGGTTCCTCAAGGGTTCTTGAGTAAAGTCAGTGGTTCTATATAGGACCATGAATTCTGTATAGACCCATTTGCATGCTTTATTGGTTCTTTGCTTGGTGAAACGTAAGCATAATGAAATAGTTACGATGTTAAGCTTAGCACTAACATCACACTCTTTAAGATGGTTCTTTAGGGGTTCTGGAGTAAAGAAAATGGTTCTATATAGAGCCATGAACACTCAAAGAACCCTTTGCACGATTAAAGGGTTTTTTTTGCATCGTGAAATGGTTCTTCAGATTGTTGGTGAATGTATATAGAACCATATACAACACAGTGTTTTTGAAAAGGGTTCTGGTATTGTTACAATGTCAAGCTTATCACGGTAGAGGAACCATTTTTGGTGCTATATAGAACCCTTTTTAAAATGATTTTAGAAAGAAACCACATACAACACATGCTCCATCAATCTGAAGAACCGTTTTACCTTGCAAAGAACCCGTTAATCATGCAAAGGGTTCCTTGAGTGTTCATGATTCTATATAGAATTGAGTTCTTTACTAAAGAACCCTTGAAGAACCATGATTGTTAAGAGCGTATTGTTAGTGCTAAGCTTAACATCGTAACTATTTCACTATTGTTACTTTTCACCAAGCAAAAAGCCACTAAAGCATGCAAATGGTTCTGTACAGAACTCATGATCCTATGCAGAACCTCTGACTTTACTCAAGAACCCTTAAAAAAAAAAAGTCTTTTTTAAGTGCACAGCATTTGGAGGTGAAAACTGCTGGATCTGCAGTGTTTTTAATTCACAGTGAGTGTTCATGGTTCTATATAGAACCGTTTTCTTTACTGAACAACCCTTGAAGAACCACCTTTTAAGCGTGTAGAAGAACCATTTTTGGTGCTATATAGAACCCTTTTCAAAATGATTACATAATGAAACCACCCAACACATGCTCAACCCTCATGCATCAATCTCAAGAACCATTTTACCTTGCAGAGAACCCTTTAATCATGCAAAGGGTTCTTTGAGTGTTCATGGCTCTATATAGAACCGTTTTCTTTACTAAAGAACCCTTGAGGAACCACCTTTAAGAGTTTATTGTTAGTGTTAAGCTTAACATCATAACTATTTCACTATGCTTACTTCAGTACTAAAGTACTAAAGAATCACTAAAGCATGCAAATGGTTCCATACAGAACTCAAGAACCCCTGAAGAACCATCTTTTTTTAAAAGAATGCATTGTTAGTGTTAAGCTTAACGTCGTAACTATTTCACAATGCTTACTTGTCTCCAAGCAAAGAACCACTAAAGCATGCAAATGGTTCTATACAGAACTCGTGGTCCTATATAGAACCACTGCCTTTACTCCAGAACCCTTAAAGAACCATCTTTTTTAAGTGCACAGCATTTGGAGGTGAAAACTGCTGGATCTGCAGTGTTTTTAATTCACAGTGAGTGTTCATGGTTCTATATAGAACCGTTTTCTTTACTAAACAACCCTTGAAGAACCATGTTTTTTAAGTGTGTAGAAGAACCCTTTTTGGTACTGTGTAGAATCATATCCAGATTCTAAAAAGGTTCTGCATAGAACCATAAACGGCACATTTTCCATCAATCTGAAGGTGCAAACAACTATTGAAGCATGGAATAGTTCTATATAGAACTCATGGTTCTGTAAATCTAAAAATACCCATTTCTTTTCCAATAGAACCCTTGAAGAACCATCTTTTTAGGAGTGTAGCAAAGACAAAACAAAAGATCAAAGGATGGGGAAACAGTGTAGATGCTTGTCTGAATGTACGTCTATGTTTTTTGTCTCCGTCGTCGGCCGAACAGTCGTTAGAGATTTCTCCCCTATTTACGTTGATCCAGCGAACGCAGATCTGTTTTCCAGCTTCGGCCGTTTTATCTCTCCTCTTTTATTGTTGTCTGTCAGCAGTGAGATGGTGGAGACTTCAGCTGCTTCAGTGTTGACCTTTACATTTCGCCATGTTTGAAGGAGCCGCCGTAAAATTTGCATTTTACTGCTTCGCCGCTGCTTTTTGCTGCTGCAGAATTCAGACTCGAGCTGAAAAGCTCGCCGCCTTAGATGTTCGCAGTGAGCACTTAAAGAGTCTTAGGAAATGTCACAGAATTGGTTTCCGCCATTTAAAGGGCCCACGTTGCGGAAAAAAACAAACGTTCCTAATTTAATTTTGCCAGTTAAAGTTTGATTTAATATGTTATTATATATATTAAAGTTAAAGTTACAAGTGTGCCAAATGCTTTAAAACTGCCTATTTTTAATTCATTCCTTTGTGATGTCACAAATACCAGTGCATTCAGACACACTCTTAAAATAACACATTCTGTTTCTAACTGAACACACCAGTGCGTTCAGTGGGAGGCGGCGCATTTCGGGTTGCTGTAACAGAACGTGTTGAAATATTTCTGTACTCAGTTATCGATACCATATTTTGGGTTACTTTTAACAAAGAATGTGTTTAAATATTCCTATACGCAGTTATCG